CTGCAGTCAGCGAGGAAGAGAGAAGCGCATAAAGTAATTGAATCTTAACCAAGCTAAACAGTGGCCTTCTCGTATGTGTTGGTAACAACACTACCCCACTTACGGCCATTGTAGTCGTTGTCTCCCAAGCAGAAACAAATCGAGGCTGGAGTCCACATTCGGTGGAGATCAAGGCCGAGCTGACAATATGTGGGTGGTAGTAGGCTTGTTTTTCCCCATTGATCTTTCCCCCCCCCCCAATCTTCCTTCTTCCATCGCTTACATTAGTTTGAGTGCCCAAGCTGAGATCCGGACGAAATGGCTTGGACAAGATCATCACAAATCACGAATAGAGAGTGTCATAGTCTCATACTCTTCTGTCATACACACACATATCAATGCGCTGGTTTTTAAAGCCTCTACCATATATTTGCGATTAGTGACACCTCCGAAATCCCATCCCACTCACAACTACGCTTATCTTTTCCATTTCCCATATTCTGGCCATGATTACCCCTCCGTAAGGGAAGAGTTTTTGTTTTGTTTTATTTTATTTTGTTTTCGTTCGTTCGTTAGCTGCCAAGCATCGATGTCTATAATCCCCCTTCTCCTGAGTGCATCAACCCCACAATCCATCCAAATTAATAACGTAACACCGTCGTCAAACTCCCCCTGCGAAAAACCCAAAACCAACCCAACCAGCAACTAGGACAAGTATCCGTTCCCGGAGCAATATCACTCGAGCACGTGGAATATCTAGTCTGTTCAAGGCCAAGATGCCAAGCACCACCAAATTGAGCCATAATATGCAATTATCAGGAACCCGGGCGTTCAATTCCCCCCCCCCCCCCCACTTCTCACTCGAACACAATGAGTTACAGGCGAAAGATCCACCACTTATGTGGACCAGGATATTGAAGACCTTGGCCTTTCTCGGTAAGGTAGCAGGCAGAAAGATGGCCTGTTCCCCTACCCTGGGACATACTAGTATGGTCCACCTATCATAGTGTGATGTCATCCATCCAAAGTGAAACGGGTGAAAAAGGGAAGAGAAGAAATAAGAATTGAAAAGAAAAAAAATTTTGAAAAACAATTTAAATATCAAGAACTACGATAGCTTTACTCTCCAGTTCTAAAATAAGTAAACTGGGTTGGGTTTATGGATCGTTAACCTTTAGACTACCTTTTCACCCCCCCCCCCCCCCCTCCCTAACTGTATCGCAATCCCATGGACTCTCTTCACCCAGTGTTTCACAATTCGAAAAATGTTCTACGGTATATGAGGTTAGGAAGCGTCAGTCAGAATCCAGAGACTCTATAAGAACTAGTAAATATTTTCTCACGAGATGTCACTCATGCTATTTAAACAGCTACTGTCCCTGGTGCCATGCCCCCCCTCTACCTGGTTACAGTGGGGCAGGATATAGATCACAGGAAGATCGAGGTTTCCAGAGAGAAAGAATTCAACAGGTGTTGATGAGGGTAATATCATTATTATATCATAAATCATAAATGAAAAATGAAAAATGAAAAAAATTTCTCCAAGCCTACTAGGGAAATAAGCTTCCTGGGATTCTTTTTGCCCACTCCCGGCAGACTCATGTCAACCAATTCCCCTGGGAGTCGAGGGTCCTTACCAAGAGAGGGGTCTTTGTATCATGCCTTTTATGGAGTACAATGGAGGAGGATAGTTGTCCTGTTCTACCCCGGTTACCGCGATATGATACATGCATATCATACTTAGACATAGATTTTAGGGCAACCTCGCTCTACAGGGTTTTCAGACCTCCTCAGCACCGGGCGTTTTGACGGACGCTCCCTATCATAGTATAGATTTAATCTGTGGGGGTGGGTAAATTGCGGAGCCGTGTAAGGGGCAGACTGGACTGGGGCCTGGCCGCAGGGAGAAGCTGTAGGAAAGGTACGGTATGCTATGGTCAGAAGCTTTGTCTCCTCGTTCGGCATCTTCTCTGACCTAATGGTAAAGGTAAAGCAAGGCATATAAGCGTAACGAGAGCATCCCGATCATTCCATGGACCACCACACGTCTCTCATCCCTTCCATGCACATCCCCAATCCTTCCTAGCACATTAGTGCCAGTAAAGAAAAGACATGCATGGGTAAACTTCCCCGCAAATCACGATAGCTCCAGAACAAAAGAACCCACCTCCAACCATTCCCGAAATCTCCACGCTAAACCACAATCCACTTGCCCCTTTGCCAGAAACCTCCGCAATTTCAATAGGCTACATCTCACTCCACTCCGAGTAACTCTTAACCCACCATGGGCACCAATATCCTTAACTTGGCGGTTATGTTTTTTTTTTTTTTTCCAATCTTTATCAAGCCTACCAAGTGGTAAATCCTAGAAAACCAAACTAAAATAGTAGGGGCCCAGTTGGCAAAAACTGCTTTTTAGCTTGGGGGAGAGTATCCGCCACCGGAAGAAACCACGACTTTCTGAAGGCTGGTTCGGGAGGGGAGACCCCCAGGATTGATCCCCCTCCAAAAAAAAAAAAAAAAAAAAAAAAGCTTGCTAAATAACTAAAGGCCACGTTAGGAGGAGATTTGGTAAAGTTGCGAAAACACAGTCCTCTATAGTGATAATCCAAGAATGGTTCCAAATGGTTCACCTCATCTTTAGACCTGCACCAAGAGCACAAGGGGCAATAAGAGTGAACAAACCTTCCCCCATCCGAATCCCTTCTCCGACACTCATCCGTCCATTTGGCGACATGCTTATACTGTACTCTACGATAGTACCGGTAGACCACCCCAGCTACAGAATACCGGCATTCGGTACCTGTGCAAGCTGACCCATTCTTAACAGTGGCATAGTACGAGTTCAGTTCAGTCGCAACACGTTGTCCCGGCCGGACCTCTCTCCCCGCCGTATATTTCCCCTTATCCCGAAAGAGCTGTATACGGATTGTGACACCAAAAACCTAACCCGTTGCCCCGGATAACTCGCCGTCCCGAACAGATTTCTCAGCATTTTGACCATCCGGGGCGGCGGGGATGCGACTGCAGAAAGCTCCCTCTGGCCCCTGGTTAGCTATCACACTATAGCAGGAATTGACCCGAGGTATAATACGATGGATACGGCTACGCCACATCCCCGATTCGAGGTGGTTCGCTAGGTCGCGGTCAGGGAAACACTCTAGATGAAATCCTCCTGCCCGGAGATCGGACTCGGATGAAGTTTCATTCCAACTTATCATACCTCCCAGCCGCATTGTCGGCGTTCACGCTATATCCTTGTATCTCACCGAAAGCCCCTTGCTCGAAAAATTGCTTACTACACACCCGGCGAAATGGACAGGGATGCATACGCGCGCTCGTCCCCCAAATTACTGTGCCGTACTCGAGGGCTCTATTGACACAGGATTAGAAAAACCCAAGTTACTCTGAATCCACCCATGCTAATCGCATTCCGAACAGCTAATGCGCATTTTGGCTTCTTCGGAGAAAAAAAGAAAAAAAGAAGAGGAAGAGGAAGAAGAAAAAAACTGTTATAAAATGACGCGCACCCGCAGCACAAAATCTCAAATCCCTTTTACTCGTACCACTCGAATTTGCCCATCACTAGCGCAGTTCAATTGGTCATGGTGTCTCTCACGAGCATAATTTAATCGAGCCTACAAAAATGAACTCGAGTCAGGGCATCCTCTACCATTTTTCATTTCATTGCTCTCTCTCTCTCCAACTAATCCCCGTATTCCAGAGACAGTTAACTAATATCCATTCTTGTAATAAAGCGCCTGTTGGCAGAAGTTCTCCTCAAGTCAGCATCCATACGCACACATTCTCGGGGGGGGGGGGAACGCTCCCCAACTCTTAAAAGAAATAGTCACAGAACAGATCGATGAAGGTGGTATTACCGTAGGTCAGGCACAACCCGAACACGAGAAGCCACCAAACTAGGCAGCGGACAGAAACGCCAGCGAAGGGCCCAGGCATGCCAGGAGGTGTACCGAGCACAAGTATGCTATATGCCGGTATGTCCCTCAACAGCTAGCGACCCTGGAAGCGAAACACAAACATCCAGACCGTAAAAAAGCACCGACCAAAGGAAATGCGAAGAAAGGCCCCGGCAATGACAGGAAATCCGGCACTTTTGCCATGATGCTCGTATGGCCGAGGCAGTGGTTAATCAACACAGACTCCGAGGACAAATCGCTCGCGTTCCCCGCCAAAACCCATTTACTCGCACAGTGAGCCAGATATACCCTAGAGTGTGTTTCCGGACGGCCAGACTACCCCTAAAAAAAACCCCGATTTCCAGGTTCTTCGCTGTGATTCTCTAGCGCTTCCCAGAAACCCATTTTTTGGCATCCAGTTCTATCGAGAGAAACAGCCCAACTAGTAAGGAATGGAGCGAAAAACATCCCCCCCGTATGTTGATGTACAAATTGCTCGGACCATATCATACCAAAAGGTCAAACGATAGGCAAGTGAAGTTAAACCTAAATTATTATCAACACCAAATCGAAATCCAAACCCGATCCAAGTGCCTCCCCAGCCCCAATCACACTCCCTCACTCACCCACCAGCCACTCCTCACTTATCCTCCCACCCTAGCTGCCAGCCCCAATCCGGCCCAACCCCACGAGATATCCCAAACCAACCCTAACCGCCCAGTGTCGCAATCCCGGCCGGAACAAACCATCCGAGAGAAAGAAAAAAAGAAAAAAAGAGAAAGAGGGAGAGAGAGACACTACGGCACGGGCAAGACACAGCTGCCGTAGTTAGTTACAAGCGCCGAACAAATCTTTTTTTTTTTTTTTACCCCACATTGCCGATCCTGGCTGAATGGGTTTATCCAGCTCTCGCTTTCCCCCACATCCCGGGGATCCGGCGATTCCGGAAGGCCCCGGCGAGGGTGAGAGCGAGGGGAAAGAAGGTGGGGCGTTTTCGTTTGTTTGGCTGGTCGGTCGGTCAGTTTGTTGGTTGGTTTTTGCTAGAAGGGAAATCCAGGAAGGGGAGAGCAAACGTGGCACGTCTCTTGTCTAAAATATGATGTCGTGAACCATCTATGATATATTCCATCTAGCTTACCCATACAAAGCGACCCTAACCGCTAACAAACTAGCTAACTGGACCTGAAACTATGAAAAATTTTAGACTCAACATGCAGGACAAACAAGATAAAAACACCAGAGAAAACCTCGCTTCCCTCTTTTTTTCTTTTTTTTTTTAGTTCGGTCCTCGGAATACCTGTATGTGTGAATATAGAGCTCGAGGAAATTTCAAACCGCAGGAAAAACAAAGCGAAGCAAAATGAAAATGAAAATAAATAAAGGGGGCAAAAGAGAGAAGAGAAGAAAAACACTAGTCATACAAATACAATTGGTAAGCCAAAAAGGAAGGAATCGAAATTGAGAAAAGGAAAACAAGAGAAAAGAATCCCACTAATACCCGTTTTTATTTCACCAAACATGAATGCCCTAAGCCCAACGAGAATGTTATATGAAGAAGCGAAGAGAGGAGAAACGAAGACTAGGGAAGGAAGGAAAGAATCCCCAGAATTTTTTTTATACAAAGCCAAACATGAACGAGGGAAAGTAATGGATTATTCCCACCGCTGCCGGAAAACAAGAAAGAATACCCGAATTATGCCCAATGGAGTGAAAGCCCTCAAAACAAGAGCGCCAAAGCTGTGATTGCAACTAGTACCCATACCAGTCCCAGGGTTACCGAAACATCAGCCCGACTACTTCTCCCACATCCCATCACCACCCAACCAGCTATCCCCCGATGTCCATTCCGCGATACCACGACCATGACCATTGACAAAAACCGCGACGTCTTCGGTTCCTCCACACTTATCGCCCTTGTCAATCTCACGTTGGAGTTGTTCATGTTCAGCAAACTTCCTGACTGGTTCCGGGTTCGGCTTTGGATGATTTAGCGTCGGTTTTGGTGGCGGGGACGACTGTTTCTGAGTGGTGCTACGCGCTGCAGAGGGGGAGACATCACGACCACCCAAGGAAGCTGCTGGCATCTGCCCCGGTACCGCGCTTACCGGAGGTGGGGTGATAGCGGGGGGCGCCTGTAACTTGAGATGTGCAGCAGCCGGGCCCGGGCTGGCGTTATTCTGAGGCATCGGTTCCTGATCCGCTGCATAAGTTGCCAATGATGCGAGAAAGCCACCATCTGCTTGGCCCTGCGTAGACGCTTGCGGCTGAGGGGCCGCCTGCGCCTGCTGCTGCTGTTGGGCTTGGCGGGGCGTGTTGATGGCCATCCATCTATCTCCTCCGCTGCCGCCCGCAGTTTCAGTAGGGACTCCTTCGGCGGCAGCAAGGAGAGCATCGACATCTCCCTCACGTTTGACCTCTTTTTTGATCTCGGGAGCGGTGGGATGGTCGACTCCCGCTTCGGGAGCGTTGGCTCGACTCCCAGGCTTGGCGTCAGGGGATACCCCAGCACGAGCATTAGTCGCAAGTTCGCCTTCATCCATTCCACTAAAATCATGAAATAGCTTTTCAAATTGACGATATTCCTCAAATCCACCTCCGAGACCTTGCTTCAGCTTCCTGGCAACAGCAGCTTCCGCCGATTCCCCAGGGACTGGGCCAGCGGCCCCTTCGATGCCACCCCCATGATGATGAAGGCGAACGTATTCATCCCGGATCGTCTTGAAATAGTTTCGCAGTCTCCCAAAAGTGATATACCATTCCTCGGCCATCTTCCATCTCTCTTTCATCTTGCTGATCAGTTCAATTGCCTTCCTAGTCTCCGCTCCAGAGCCTTCCGGTTCTCTCGCACTGCGGCCGCCCTCCATATTCTCATCCTCATCGTCCCCAGAATGACTAGGCGACTTGCTGGTAGGATCGGGAATGGACCCGGTGAGATACCCCTTCTGATCCATCCAAGGGAAAGACCAAGCGTAAACACCGCAAACCCCAACCATGTAGACAGCAAAACCAACAGCGGGCGTCTCGACAGAGCTGTTCCATTCCTCCAACCCATTGACAATCTGCATTATCCCTCCGGCGCACCTGAATATTTCCTTGGCAGATTCTTCCCACCACATAGCTATTGTCACGCCAGGTTCCAATCCTTCCCTATCGGTTTCAGGATCGTCAGCTGGGAACAGGGGCGGGTCGAGCGGGCCTTGGGGCCTAGTGAGGCGAAGAGGCAAGAACGGGATGTACTCCCTATGCATCACAACCTGACATAGAAAATGAGTTATATGCATAACAGCATATGCGCTTGAGGTGCGCGAAGACATGTGCGCAGAGAGTGTTTGGGGGGAGAAATGCAGGTGCTCGGGGAGCGAGGAGTAGAAATTGTCCAGCATCTGTTGCAGCTTGTAAAAATTCGACCTCGGAGACCACGGTGGGTATTTTTCACTTCTATCGATCATCAGCACACTGCAAAATGCTCAAGGAGAGCCAGCCCAAGACAAATACCTTCTACCACCAGCCGCGCAAGCCCATGCCTGCACCTTTCCCCAAATTTCTGTAATGCGAACGACCTTTGCGAGGATTCCCTCATCATCTCCAACTTCCCAACGCCCTCCAACGCTATCACCGTTCCTATCATCACTCTTCTCATCCAGGCCGTCGGCAGTCAAAAATCCAGTGCGTACGCCCTCCCCAAACAGGAATCCCCTCTCTTCACAAGGCAATTGGACCCTCGCAGCGTCCGCAAGCTGGATCCCGCTCGGCCTAAATCTACCAGAACTCAACGAACGGTCTAGCATGAACAGGGCCCAAAAGGTCCTCCTCCTAACCTCCTTATCCGTAAACTCCTTCCCGGTAGCCTTAGCACCCGCAGACTTCCCACCTTCCAATCTCCTTCTCTTGGAATTGGGGCTACCACCGCTCCTATCACCATTTCCAGGGGAAAGAGCAGGTTCCGAAATTGGGTAGCCCGGCTCCGGAGCATCGTCCCAACTCAGCCCCAATGCCATAGCCATCCGAATAGCCACACCAAGCCAAACATAAGCTTCCGCCCCACGGCACATTCCCCACTCGTGCACAACTAGCATGGCAATGGCTTGTACCTTCTCCAAAGAGGGAGCGGCGAACGCTGCGCCAAGTTCTCCGTGACTGGCGTCTTCATCGTTCTGCAAGCGATATTTGAGTGCCGATGCATAAAAATCTGAAACGGCTGCTGGGGTGGGCAGTGCTGGCGCGAAGTGCTGTGAGAGGGCGGGTACATGACGTGCAGCAAGGCAGAGAAGACCTAGCATCAACAATGGAGAATGACCTTTATCAGGAGCCGGGGGCGATGTAGAACTGGGTCCAGTATTCGCGGATGCCGAATTCGGTAGACGCAACCGTGAGAGAAAGGTAGGAGGATGAAGGAACGGAAGTGTAGGCGAATGATGCAGTTGAAACGCTTCGAACTGCAACGGCCCCAAATATTTAGCGAAAATCTCCAAAACGGAGGCGAATAATGAAACTTACGACTTGAGTCAAAAGGGTCTGATTCAAGATAGGGGAGTCAAGCGCTTCTTTCCATGCCTTTGGTCCCGTGTAATTCGCCGCGCTGGCTGCAGCGTTCCCAGAGGGAGCCGGTTTCTTGGGTTTCGCCTTCTTCGGAGCCTAATAGAATTAAAAAAGAAAAAGAAAGAAAGAGATTAGTCGGAATTCACCAGCGTCTCGAATGCGATGGAACAAACCTCCGGCCTATCTCCACCCGTATGTCCATGATGCGACGAGATACCGCCAACATTCGGCGCAAGGTCCTTGTTCGCACCCAAGCCAGTGTTTGGTCTTGAGGGAGTCGCACCAGACGCGGTCCTAGGTGCGCCGCTAGCAACAGGAGCCGGATACGTGCATTCCCTATTGCTAGCTTCACAGGCGCGGCAGGTTGTGTTCGGTCCAACATTGACACATTTCACTTTGGACCGCCGACAGCGGACGCAAGCAATAGACGATCGCATGGTTTGATTATTATTATACCGAATGAACAAACGCGCAGGTATCGTAGGACCTATTTTGTAAGTTTCGGTGGCAGCGAACCTTTCTCGAAAAAAGAAAGAAAAAAGAAAGGGAAGAGAAAGAGAAAAAGAAAAGAAAGAGAAAAAGAAAACTGCGAAAAGATGTTAGCGTCAGTGCTCGGTTGCGAATGTGGATGATGGCCGAGAGGGCGGCGATTGAATCACACGGACTCCCATCCGGGCCGAACTCACCAGACTGTTGATCAATAAACGGCAATGGTTGCCGAAATCGACGAATAACTAATTATCCCAATTGGCGACCAAGGGAAAAAGCAGAGGCCAGATCGCCTCAAGTACGGTTGAAAGGATGTTGTTTGCGAATGACGACCAAAGAAAGGGTTCCAAGAAGGAAATTAATACTCTACTCGTATTCCCAAGTGTCGTTGACGGAGGCCCCGGAGTACTCGCGGCTAGGCCACAACCAAACAACGCAGTAACAACAGTGTTTTGTCAAGTGAAGGTACGCTGATGAGGAGAGATGTCGTGGAGGTGGAGGGGAAAAAGTGTGGAATGGGAGGAAGGAAGGGGGTGAATCGAGGGAGGGGAGGGGAGGGGAGGGAAGGGGAGGAAAGGAAGAGACACGGAGATGCCGGTCTAAGGTCAGGCGGACGCACACGGAGGAGGCCTCCGGTTTTGGTCGGCAAGCTGCTACTGCCTGCCTGGAGGATTGGGTGAGGAGGTGAGGAGAGGGAAGGGGAAGGAGGGGGGGGGTGGATTGAATGGGATGATGGGGGGGGGGGGTTAGGATTAGCGGCGGAGAATAGGGACGGGGAAGGAAAGGCAATGGCTATGCGTGGTTCAGATCCCGTTCGCTCTTGAAATCTTTGGTGGTGGCTCCTTGTGCCGGTATCATCGGTACGTAGGGCGCAACTCCCATAGTAACAGGGCAATAACTCCCTCCCTCTCTCCATCAATCCGTCCACTGTGCACTCGTCGGTTCATTCACTCGTTCATTCCTTCTCACTGACATATTGCGGTGTAATGTTACTCACCACACGCCCTGCTACTGGACCAATGCACACCCTCTCACTCTACCGTACTCGAACGCTTTTCGTTCTCCCTCACTTCACATTCCGGAAGAGCTCGCCAGGGCGACAATACATTGCCGTGCTCACTCCGCCATCCACCCTCCCCACCCATCCATTCCTTTTCATCTTTTCTCCACCCCCCCCCCCCCCTCCCGCCCCAATTCAGCCAGCCAGACATGCCGACGGACAGATAGGCAGTAACTCTGAGCCCACAATGCGAAGCGTAGAGCGCAGCGCCCACAGACAGACATACCGACCGAAAGCCTATCACCTTCCATGTGGCAGCGCAGAATTCCTCTAAGCCCGAGTTGTGTAACTATCACGGTTTCCGTAAATATCTTCCATCCACCTAAACCGTGTCACTGAACTCCATGCCACGACCCTGTTACCTGCTTACCGGTATTTCTGCTACGCTCTCTCTCTGATGGTATCTTGGCCCGAAAAATTGCTTCCGCATAACATAATGACACGGTATATGGTATCACTGCTGAGCTCGGGACATTTTGCTCTTGGAATTTTCCCTCCCCCTTCGTCTATTCGTGCCAGATCTCCCTTTTTTTTCTTCTCTCTCTCTTTTCTTTCTCTTATTACCGTGCCTCATTTTCCACCCATCCTCCCCACACTTTGTACGGTACTGTACAGCACTGTACAGTACCCCTACTCGAGTACGTTACAGTACCCTTACCTTTTGGCACGAAATCATTTGCCTGTCCCAGTGTACGTCTTGTAATTATATACCGTAAGATATCGTGAAAAAGATGATGATAATAATAATAATAATAATAATAAGAATAATAATAATAATAATAATAGTAATAATAATAACAACAATAACAATACTGTACATTTTTTTTAAATTAGCGCTCCAGCCGGGCCTCGCATTATCCTCATGTATTTTTTATTTTTTTTCCCACTCCCCAATCCATCGGGCGACACGGGGGGAGGAGAGAAGGGTTTGTAGGGGAGGGGGTTAAGCCTCCTGCTGGCCTCCTGCTGGCGCCCTCCCCCCCTCGGAGGTGTCGGCACCCCGGCTTGTCAGAGAGATGAAATTATCATTATCATTATCATCATTATTATTTTGGCGAAAAAAATAATTTAAAAATAAATGGAGGGGGGGGAAGATATTCCACTCCTTCCTTCCTTCCTACCTCCTCCTCGCCTCTGGCGTTCCCTTTAAATTCTCGGTTACCAGCATCGGCTATATCCTCTCCGATAGAGCCAGCCAACCGCCAACCCCCACAGATCTTCCAAGACGGAGCTGAGGCATTCGCCCAGTCGGAGAAACGAACTAATTGGGACACGCCGGGGCGGGCGGGGCGGGAAAGAAAAGAGGAATGGGAGGGGTGATGGCACTGATGGCTGGAGGTGGTGGTGGTGGTGGTGGTGGTGGTGGTTAGGTGGTGATAAGTGAATTGCCAGGAGCTTGCCGGCCAACTCGGAATCAGCCTCAGAAGTGACAGTGTAAGCGGCAGCTACACGCCGTGTAGCTAAGCCGGGGGAGAAAGCAAGGGAAGTTGATTTGTGTCATCAGTCTACCGGTAGCCTATTGATAGGCCATGAGCAGAAAGTACCGTGCTGTATGCGGGAGCATAGCCTCTGAGTTTCCCCTAATATCATCGATCGATACCGGTGGGCGCTAGGACAGTGGCAAGCCCACGTCCATAACACCCTCGGTACGGGCACAGCACCTCTCCACACGGCCCATAATCCCGTGCGAGATCAGGGAATGGCGAGATCCAGTCCCCAGAGCTCCCCTGATAAGTCAAGCCGAGGCACCAATATTACACACTTACATATGCCGAGCATCAATCATCTGCATCACTGTTTACCCATCCGGCCGTGATACGCAGGAGTACAGTACCGTACGAGTACCCTACGGCATCCATTCGATTTCTCCAGATCACCTCACCCTACCCTACTCGCACCCATTTGCTTTTCCCCATTGGACAACACACTCCACTCCCAAACCCCCTCCCCCCTGACAGGAACCCGATCCCATGATGTGTATCCCAATCCTTCCCTCGGGGAGAAAACTATGTTTTACTCTGTTCCTACGACCAATCGCGCAGCGCAGCACATGGGAGCCCAAGGGAACAATGGAAAAAGAAAAGAAAAAAGAAGAGAGGAAGGGCCAAATAAAAAGAAGGAAGGAAGGAAGGAAGGAAAGAAGGAGAAGAAAGGAAATCTCTCCAGCTGCAGCGCGCGCCGCCTTCCGGGACCCCTTCGGTGTTACGATAACCCACTCCACCCACAAGGAACGACAGAATACGATACCATATCAAGTTCCGTCCGTTTGCAGATTGCTCTTTCTTCCGGGTGGTTTTTCCCGTTCCGAAGGCTCAGGCAAAAGGCATTGGCACATCATAGGCAACTTCCCGATACAACTAACAAGGGAGCACCACACAACAACCACCACCCTCATCCAAAGGCGCTATCGAACCGGGAAAAAAAAGAAGAAAAAAGAAAAAACTGTGGCAATGGGAAAAAGAGAAGGAAACCAGTTCGGATCGGAGACTCCGGTGTATCATTATTATAATTATCACCGTATCATACCTGTGTGATGATGATACGGTACCGCAGTCTAACCTGGCTGGACGGGGACTACCGTACAGTACCGGTACGGCGGCGGCGCGCTATACGACCGGGTAGGACACGGTACCGGTACTGTACGGTACGGCAGGGGAACTTGGATTTGAGGTAATGAAATCTGTTTTGTTTTGTTTTTTTCAAAAAAAATAAAAATAAAAAATAAAAAAAAGAGAACCGGAGTCACGGCAGACCAGAGCTCTTGAGCTGGACGGGTCCCACCCGGTCAACGGGAAGTGGCTTTGGATGGAAATGGCAAAAAAGGAATGAAAAATGTCGAGCCCCAGATGAGGGATAGGCAAGACAAACTAGAGCAGGCACATCCCGAGGGAAGAAGGGAAGAAACTTGGAAGGGGAAAAAAAGCAAGCACTAGTCACACATCAAAACCATCATGTGCAGATCAATCAAGCACGCTTGCCTTGTATCACTGTATAAGATGTCGTCTTGTACGATACAATTCAGATCCACAATTAACCTTTTTTTTTTTTTTTTTCCTCCCCTGGGAGGTGAATCTTCTTTCCCTCGTTCGGTATCCGATCGGGGCAGAAACGAAACGAAACGAAACGAAACACCCAACATGAGAAACCCGAGGGGGAAAGTGAGAGAGAGATAAAAGGAAAATTGCCCTTTCCTCCCTTCCCTTCCATTCTCCGTGATCGAGTTTGCTATTGAATGAAGCAAAGGGAGGAAGAGGAGGAAGGAAGGATACCGGTAGGCAGCTCTTTTTTTCTTCTTTTCCGAACAGGACAGAACAATCTCGGCCACGCGCCCCGTCATCTCTCCGCGCGGCCGGACATCATGCGCTCTCCCATTAATGAGGTGTATTCTCCCATTCCCTTTTCTTGTCTCCTCCCCCCCCTCTCACCACTGGACCGGCGCGATCCTTTTCACCCGGCTATTCGCATTATCTATGATTCCTTCCCACATTAAACGCCAACAAAACCGTTTGTAGCATACCGCGCTGAGACGACAACCAGCAATCGACAATAACATCAACAGCTCACCGTTGTCATACTGAAATTATTATTATCGTTATTACTATTATTATTGCCGCTGACCCTCTTCCCGGGTGCGGAATCAGGTTGGGACGCGCCCGGCCGTAAAAAATATAAAAATAAAAACATAGAGACAGATGGAGCTCGAGGCGCTTTTGTCACCTATTGAAGCATCTCGGGGCCGACGGGTGGACGGACCGAACAATCCAACCCCGTCCGGGCATATTATACGAGTACGTAGAAGATTGATCATCCTGAGGGCTAGGCGAGTACTGGTACATAACCTGACGATTACTAATCTACCATCACGGCGGCGGTCGGCACCGGGGACCCTTCGATCTGGCCATTCCTTGTTTCCCGCTCTGTCTTCCTTTTTTCTCTCCAACACTCCACCCCACTCACCCACCCACTCACTCAATCCCTGAGGCGTAGGAAGAGGGCAAGGGAGCCCTGAGTGAAGGGGGGAGGGCTCGGGATTCGGTAACTTGAGCACTCGTGCTGTATGTTGCTTGTGGTTGGATGATTTAGGTCATTCATGTTCGAGGGAAAGAAAAAAAAAAAAAAAAGAGAGCGGGCGGGGGAAACTTTTGCACGGCTGTCCACTCGCAAGTGGTACGTGGTGTGAGGAATTTTCCCGTTTTCGGTGAATGGTGGTGAAAGAGGGTTTGAGATTAGAGCTTAGCCTACCGGAGAAGGAGGTGGTTGACCATGATGATGCGGACGGTACCGGGATATGTTAGTCCCGGAGGGCTATCATAGGCAAGATGGCGAAATGATAATGTGTGTACTGTACGGTATCGTATCGTGTCGAATCCCTTTGATAACTTGTGCATTGGAACATGGGCAGGTGGTGAGTGGCCTCCTCCCCTTCCAGGAAATAATAATTCACCTTATTTTTATCTTTATGCCGTACCCTTTCTTTTTTTTTCGGGGGTCAAAATCTCGACAACTACCAGTCCCGTATTTGGCATGGCAGCCCACTGCAGGCATGATCAAAACGTGGAATCAGAAGGAAAGAAAAAAGAAAAGAAAAAAGCTTTGTTTCACCCTCGTTCCCTTCGCTTCCCACCCGTGGTTGACGGAACACACTTCAGAGTCCAGACACACGAGGCTGGAGGCTCAAAAGGTAGTACAGAACTCGGTAGATTCATTCAACCTCCTTTCCTTCCCCTCCTATTCTATCGGCCCTCACTCCGAGTCATTTCCGAGTCCCGGTCGAGGTCTTAGCGGACGAACGAACAAGGTGGGGAAAGAAATGTGATGGTGATTCGCGATACTCGAGTACCGGTACCGTACTGGTATTATGATGGGACAACACATCAACTTATCCCAAGCCTAATCTAGGCACTTGGCTTGGGGAGGTCCCGCTCACGAACGGCACGCTCAATGGGTCCGAACAACGGTGCGTGAATACACACGCGATACCGGGCACCTCATCTCTCAACCCCTCCGACAGAATAGGGTGGTTTTTCCCATCCACCCATCACCCCCTCGCCCCCTCCCACAGCCCTGATCACCCGTCCATTCATAATCGCAACTACCGTGGCAGCTGTGTTGTGTGGGTCTGGGCCTGAAATGCAGGAAGGGAGAGAGGAAGAGATGGCATGCCGAGCCCTCCCAATTTGCGGTACCGGTACAGTTCCGTACAGTACAGCAAAAAGTTGAAGAAGTGAAGAGTGTCATGCGTCTGAGCCACAGCACTGCGCAAGCCGCATGCACTGCACTCCGCTGGAATCGATTGATGTGATCTCATCCCCCCCCCCCCTCAGAAAGCACCGTACGTGCCGAAAGTATAAGTCAGTCACCCGGCCGGGCCAGTCGGCGGGTACCGTACCATAGGTTGTCAGGTTCGGGAGAACGGGGCGAAGTGGAGTGAAGGGAGGCACTAGTGTACGGTATAGGCGGTATTCTGGGTGGTCGGTACGAGTACTCGTACAGTGCCGGTACTCTTATCGCACATAGACTAATCGATTTGCTAAATTTATACGCATACCGAGAAAGGGCTTACTAAGTATTATGATGGCGATGATGATGACGATGATGATGATTGTGCCTTATGATGTTATGCTCCTGCTCGTAGTCTACCGATAGCATTAACTTTGACGATACTCACCACACCTACTCACTCACCTACCTACCGGTACTTTCTGTTCCGGTGCGGAACAAATTTTGCATCTTCATTGTCACCGTCATCATAATCGTCCCACCCCCCTCCTCCCCTTTCCACTTCAAAAGTGTCACCGTATACCCATCTTACCCGACCACCCGGGAGTGACTTGCGAAAGGGAGGGGCGACAACCATCCAGCAAGGGTAGGGCAGCGGTGGAGGGGAGGAGAGGGGGGTGAACGCTTCACAACCCACTTCCCCGAATATATCAGCCTTAAATGTCCCCCCCCTTTCCGCGGAGCGCGTCAGCACCGTTTAACTTGCCGGTACCGTGCGATACACCCACAGCAATACCTTGTCGTTTTTTTCCCTTTTTTCCTTTTTTCCTTTTTTTTTTTTTTCATCCCTTCCACTTACCCTCCCTTCTCTTCTCTCCTTTCTTTTTTCATTATCTACCGTACCGGTACAAGTATCCGGGGTATCTATCGCCCCCCCACGCGTCTCCGTGCATGAATCAGTGAATACCGGTAAATGAATACGGTAAACGGGCATCGCCCGGTTGGTCGGTTGGTCGGTTGGTCGGTGGGTCGGACGGTCGGTGGGTGGGTCGGGTTTGTTGGTTTGCGGCTGCAATGTAACTCGAGTGATTGATCGTGATCCATAAATTTGCCTCTTTCATTCATTCATTCCTTCTCT